AGGATTTGCTTAGAAACAACTTAGTAGGTAGGGGATCATTACAGGTTAGTACCTCTTGCTTTTGTTCTTCCCTGAAATAACTTCCTCATTTCACTTTCTTTCCCTAGATTCTAAAAATAAATAAATAAATTGTTTTCATTTTAGGCAAAAGAAATAAAAAGATAGACAGTGTTTATAGAAAATTAACAAGAAAAGTTATAAGAAGTTTTCTGTTCATGGCTATAAATGATAAAAACCAAATATTATTGTTGTTGTAGTAAGAAGTTGTCAAGTGACCCTATGTACAACAGAATACCCAGTTCTGGTGATTGTCACAGTCATTGCTAGGTTAGAGCTCATTATTACAACCATATTATTAACAAATGCAAGTTTCTAAAAGGAATGATATAAAACTAAATTGTTTAAAAGATTATTTTTAAAAAGCAAAGAAGTGATGGACAGAAAGAAGATAAAGTTAAAATGTGACAAAGAAAGTAACTACTATTTTCTACCAAAAAGCTCCAGGGTAACCTAGTGGTAAGGAGTCGCACTGCCAACCCAAAGGCATGTGGTTTGAATTCATCAGCTGCTCCACAGGGGAAATATTGGCAATCTCCCCTGTGTGATTTACAGCTTCTAAATCCCCAGTGGAGGGTCAGTTATGAGTCAGTTCTGACTCAATGGCACATAACAACAACCACCAAGGAACTTGGGTGCACGGTGTGTTACAGACTGAACTGTTAACCTAAAGGTCACATGCTCTAATCTACCACTCCTGCAAGGGAGAAAGATAGACAGTCAGCCTCAAAAACCTGAAAGATGATTAACACAAATCAGAATCAACACAAAGGCAACAGGTTCTTTATTTAACAATAAGTAGTGTTATTACAATTTCTGTACTTCAGTATAAACAACTTTCCAAGGGGTAGGCATCTGACAAGCTGAAGGCTAGGCAGCTTAGAGACCCCTCCCATCTCCCCAGGTAATCGAAGAAGAAAAAACCGCAAGACATTGTTCCGGCAGGCCACTCATAAGAACGGGTAATCGAAGAAGAAAAAACCGGGAGACATTCCTTCCGGCAGGCGGCTCAAAGGAAGGGGTAATCGAAGAAGAAAAAACCGCGAGACATTTGTTCCAGCAGGCCGCTCAGAGGAAGGGGTAATCGAAGAAGAAAAAACCGCGAGACATTCATTCTGGCAGGCCAGGCCGCTCAGAGGAAGGGGTAATCGAAGAAGAAAAAAACGGAGACATTCGTTTCGGCC